AGAAGAAGCAAAGAACTAGGATTACATACTAGAACAGAAGGGAGAAAGCTGCAATGCTCTTGGAGCACAAAGATTCAACCGGAGCGCATACTTGGCATCTGTTGATAACTATTAACTAACCAAAACAAAGCATAAGATAATCAAATTATTAAAATTAAGTGAACAAAATATACAGTCGTAACAAATGAATGAGTTAATATGGCATTGAAAAGCTTTCTCCAAGTATAAACCATAATTGCATAGGGGAGAAGGTGGTGGCATGGCAGAATTGCAAGAAGTATAGGAAGAAAAAGAATAGGGAAAAGAAAATGAATCACAATTTTGTCATGCACTTGAAATTAATTGGTATATAAGCCATTTAACCAATACAGCTGAGAATTAGTCTTGGGAGAGCAAAATGTTTAAAAAATAAAAAATAAAAATCTCAGGGGGACCCCAATTAAGAAAAAGGGGTTTAGAGCAATTAACCCTTATTAAACGCTCAAATGGGAATTAGCTTCGGAAAATGCGTCTCTTGTTTATTGTATAGAGTATTTCTGGCTTCCACTATCGCTTTTGTGGGCCTTCACTAAAGAAATTTTATCATTAAAGAGATGAAAAAGTCTTTTTCTTTTGAAACAATTGTTTTTGTCCGATTAGTGATGCAGAAAACCATTTTGCCATACAGCTACAAACCTACAAAAAGAAAGATGAAATTTTTGCAACGAAGCCAGAAACAAGCGCCCATGCTTTTGTGTATATGTGTATGTATATGTGTATATATATGTGTATATGTATATGGATATGTGCATATATATATGTATGCATATGTACATGTATATGTGTGTGTATTTATATGTGCATATATATATGTGTGTACATATATACATACATACATACATATATATACACACATGTGTGTATTTATTTATTTATTTCAAGGGATACTATAAATTTTATGAGAGGAAGTGCAATAGGAAAGATTTGAGTATTGAATTACAAAAAAAAAACTTCATGATTATTTGACTGATATTTCCATCAGTTGAGCTACGTCTTTTAGACCCTTCATACTTGCTTTCAATAATTCATTTCTTTTTTTCTTTCTTTCAAAACTTATAGAGTAATATTGGTTTTCCCTTTAATATTTCTAGGGTTAGAAAACGTGCCGCTTTGATCTTCACAATTATTGTTGCTAATCCTTCAAAAATGGGCACAAATAAAATAAAATGTTTTTGGGAGGACCAAAAGGAAGTTCAGTTTCATTCATGTCAGTCTGGCCAGAAAGAAGAGGGAAACTTGTGACATTATTTCACATGGCGTCTAGAGTTTATGTACTATTCTTTTCCTGTTTTCCATCTTGCAAGACAAACAAAAAGAACACTCACGTCACGTCTAGCAAAAGTTGATCACTCCCAAGTCCTAACTTAGTTCTGTCCAATGGAATTACTTGAAACGAAAATTTTGTTTTCCTTTTTATTTTTTTCTTGGTTTAGATTCGGGAAAGTCAAGGGTGAGATTCAGCTTTTAGCTATTGCTATGACAATGAGATTAAGCTTTTAGCTATTGGTATGACAATGCTAGAGTTTATAAACTAGAGATGTCTTTGCAAAATATTTCAAATTAAGTTTCTATTACATCGAGTTTAAAAGCAAGTAGTTTGTGCAAAAGGATTTTAGGATAAAATATTAGCAGCGTAAAAGTATCCATTAGGATTAAGCATGTCAATAGGTAGGGTATAGATTGGATCCTTTTAATTTAGATTCAAATCTATTAAATTTAGTTAGACCGAGATCCAAACCCAATCTTTATGAGTCTGAAAAAATAAGTCCAAACTCAGATCCTCTTGAATCTGGCTCAAATCCTCTTGAATTTGGGTATCTAATGAGTATCCGTTGTATTTTTCTAAACACACTAAAGTAAAATTGTATAAAAAATATATATATTTCAAAAAATATATAAACACCATCTAATTTTAAATTAATATTTAAGAAGTTGAATGCAATATTATGAATTCAAAAAAATAACTATTATCGATTGCTTCTATTTATTTTTAAAACTTCAACTATATCTGTTGGGTTTGGATTTTATCTCACCAATCGTTTATTTTGTTGCCCAACAAAATAAACAGTTGGTGGGATAAAACCCAAGTCCAATAGTATCTACTTATTCCAATTTTATTTATTTGCCTTTACTTTTTTTCCTTTTTTTGAATAAGTTTGTACTCATTACAATAACAATTAGGATTAGTTTGAAAAATAAAACAATTATGAAGTCTTATTGTATTTGATCCAATGACCATAGAATATTAGAATATTATATAAATTTACTAATATATATATATAATTTAATTGTATATATATGAGTTCGGATAGAGTCTGGTATGGGTATGGGTTTGGATTTGGATATGAACCATAGAAAATCAAACCCTACCCAAACCCATATCTCTTCTACAAGGTTTGGGTTTGGGTAGGATCTAGGTTTGAAAAATTAAATTCAAACCCTTCTCAAATATATTGGATTTTGGTGAGACCCGATCTATTAACATGTCTAATTAGGATTAATGAGCAGGATAAAATCCCAAGGAGAGGTGTAAACAAAATAAGTAGTTCGTGAGCTACTTGCAAGTATTTCAAAAGTTATTTCTAGGCAAGTTTAAGTCAAATTCGGGTAAGCTCAAGAATAAATGTACGAGGCTTGAAAGTTGGTTTGGTTTATTGATCATCACAAACACACGCACACACACAAATATATGTATGTGAGTTGCTTGAACTCAATTAAGACTTGATATTTGTCGAGCTTACCCAAGATGAGTTCAAGTAAACTAAAATAATATTAAGTTCTAGGTTTTTTTATTTTATAAAATGTTATAATTTTATTAAAATATGTGCTAATGACAGAAATTATATCATCAAACATACACAAATACCAAAAATCTAAAGAATAGATATTACAGATATGAAGAATATATAATCATTATATTGTAAAGTTTCAAAAAATATTTCAGAAAAGATAGAATACTTGTAGCACCAAGAAGTGCATGTTTTCAATCGCCATACCTACTTATTAACTGCTTCAAGTCTAGAGATATTATAGTAAGATGTGTCGAATAGAACAAAAAAATTCCAGATCAGAAAATTAAATACAAAAAACTCAGATCTAATAAAAGAAATTGAAAAAATTATATACAGTTCCAATTAGCAATTCCTAAGAGAAAAGAAAATTGTCATTAAGAAACCCTAAAAGAAAGAAAAACTCTTACTAGACAAATCTAAAAGAGAAGAAATTCTCAGTAAGAAATTTTAGAAAAGACTTTATTATAAATATGAAAAATAAAGAAAATCATGGAAGGGATTGGTCTCCCGAAGAAGACGTTTATAAGAGAGAAAAATTAGAGAAAGAAAGTTGGAGAATGCATAAATTCTAATTGACAAATAAACATGCTTGGAGGCATTAATTTCGAGTTTGAGCTTTGACATAATAGCTTGAATCAATCGAGTAGTCATTGATCGATTGCACTTGTCCGCCTTAGTTCCATTGTACTCCTAATTTATGTTGGCCATTAAAGTTTTGAAGGGTGAGACATGAATTGATAGCTGGGGTCCGTCAAGTCTGTTTTTAAAGTTGAAAATAGGGAAATTGATGTTCATGATGAATCCTTCCTCCAATTATTCAATAATTGACCAAATAAAAGATATGAGAGAGTGATATGTAACTAATGAGTCACATTCAGGTGGCAATCATCCCTAATAAATGTTCAAATTGTTAGTACAATGGTAAGCATTACATTTGGTTTAAAAAGTTTTCCATTCCTGAGAACTCACGATGGCAAGAAATTCAAAATCTTGATCATTTGGTTAAAGGCATAGAGTTGAAGGGATGTACTATATCAAACGTGAAATCATGTTTGGTACACATCAATTGGATTCAAACCGTGATAAAATGGGTGATTGAAAATAAATTTATTGTTGCTTTCAATGTCTTGGTAAACTCTACTAAATAGAACTATGAACAGTGACATCTTGTGAATGTTAAAATAAAGGGAAAGGAAATAAAAATAAGGAAAATATAACGGATGTCCATTGAGCACTTGTTAAGATATATTTCAAGTATCATATTTTTGAAAATGTAAGATTAATTAGGAAAAGTAAATATAGACAAGGGAGGATAGGTAAGATTAAATAGAAAAAGTATATAAATGCGAGAGATGGCAATAAGTATTTGTATGTGTCTTTATATGATAAGTTAGGTGATTTTTAGGTGTGTTAACGAGTGCCCATTAGAATCCTAGAATAAATAGTAATGGTGCAAATGATTTTGTCTTTATTCCTGGACCTCTTTTTTTTTTCTTTTTTTTTTTTTTCTCATTATTCCTGAGCCTCTTTTTATCTTAACATTGTTATATTTGATACTTTTATTCGTAATCTTACCATACCTGAATCCCAAGAAAAGTTGGTTTTGATTTACATAATACCCTCATATAAAGTCAATTACTTACAATCAGCATCCTCCTAAAGAGAATCATTGAATATACAAAATCACAAGCACTTGTAGAATGTTTGGAAGGGAATTTTAATATATTAAGAAATACTCAGAAGTAATACAATTATAGGACTTCGTCTCAATTTGGAGAAAGTATGCAAGTAGAAGATAAAATTTTAATGTAGGAGTAGTTAATATTTTGTCAGTAATGTATACAATTTTTATTGAGAGAGATGAGGCTCTTATAAGACAGGAATAATTAGGAAGATTCATTAAAGTGAGAAATTTTTCTAAATTAGAAATATTTGTGTGTGTGTAGATTCGTTTGACCAATCACCTCGTGCAATTTGGTCAAAACCAGGATCAAGTTCAACTACCAAACATATGATTTTAATTTTAGGTCCACCTAATACAAACCCTTGAATTGATTCCTTGTGTTCTTCTCTTTTTTATTTTTTATTTTTTGGGGGGTTTTTTTTTTTGGTTGGTTGAAAGAAAGTTTGTCCATGCGCATCATATCCTCTAAAAAATGGAAGAGCATGTGCAACAACTATTTACGTCAATGCTGAAACTCTACTCATCTTTACAGCCAGGAAATCATATGCAACCACAACTTGCAGAAGTACGACCGAGTTGAGACCAAAAATTCTTGCACCATAAATCCAAACTGTAGCCCACAGATATCCAAAATTGAAATTCTCTCCAACAAGAGAGCCCTAAAACTTGAACAAATTTCTCTGGACTTTAGTCACTACTCTGCACGTCAAGGAAATTCTGGTAGCAGTCCTATGAATTAGTTTTTCACATCTTGTTTCATTTCTGTCAATTTCTTCCTCTGGGCGTGCTGCAGATTGGATCAGTGCAAGGCTTTTTGTAATCTGAGGAATATTAACAGCCTTGTCAAACTGCTGATACTCCTGATCTTTTATTCCATGCAAGTAGTCTGAGTATGCCTCATCTTTAAATATAAGCAAACTACGGGGCATCAATACTACAGAGAATGGTGGATGTTTATCAGAGGATCTATCAGTATTCATCAGCATGGGCCCTTCATTAGCTGTGTTGTTTTGAGTTTCCTTATTCTCCAGTGGTTCTGTAGAAAGTTGCAAACTTGGGTGAGGAGTAAAGTCCATGACAACTGGCGATCCAAGAGACAAAATTGCCACGACGGGAAAATAAGCAGGTCCATCCTGGTGTGGCATTATTCCCTGGTCAGGAAGGTACTCATTAATGAGTACATGATTAATTGCTGAAGGAAACAATCCAGATTTCTCGTATATCCTAGCAGTAATTCTTGTCAGCCACGTGGGCAAATCTTGAGCAAGAAGACCCTTCTCATGCACAATGCCTCCCCAGTTTTGGAGTCTCCTATTCTTCAAAACTTTCCACTTGGAAACGGGGGCTGTATAAATAGTGTTGAGAAGGTGCTGCTCTTCTTCATCAGTAATGAAATCGGGGAGGTAAATGACCGTTGGAACAGAACCAACTAAAAAGCTGTTGACGTTTTCTTTGTCTGCTTTTGTCTCCATGTCTCTTGTAATAGTTTCTTCCCCCCTGTCTTCCTCAATGAAATGTTGGAGTGGATTTCAATCCTAATCTATAGATTCCTGTGCCAAATAGGCAAAGAGTAAAACATTTGGAGGTTATCATAACGAGTCGTAATATGTATGAGAGAAGCTTAACAACTCTGACCTTTTATAATGTTCATTGTGCATGGTTATAGCGGGCAGATTTTGAATTGCTTGTGTAAAACCAAGTAATACAAACCATTGCCATTTCATTACCTCGGATGTGCAAGTTTATCAATTCTAAGAATTTGGATTTTGATACTAATTTATGCAAACCAATAGCCTTCATGGAAATCACCAATTAGATTTGCCAGTCATGTGCAAAGGAAAGGAGCCAGAGAAAAGCATGCAAAACATCTATATATGGTAATAATGATATACAAGCTTCCCTGATACGTTACCAATCTCAATTATGAGTCTGCGAAGTCAACTGAGAAAGGGAAAAAATCATGCCATGCAGTGATCTTGTTTACAGAAACCAAAGGTGACCAAAACTCATAAGCAGAGAAATAGGGGGAAAAATGGACAAGAAGAAAAGACGTCAGATGCAACATCCAAGCAAACTAAATTTCTAGAAAACTTGTTGCCACCAGCAATTCTTACAGAATGACTTGCAAGCATATGAGGTGGTAGCACAAGAAACAGTTGAAAGTTTTGCATTCAAACTAACAATCATAGACATTCTCCAGTAGCAGAAATGGAAAATTAACTCCATATTTTGAGAAGATAAACCAGCCACTAGTTCAAAAAACATAACTCTATAAATCAAGAAAGATAAACCGGCCACTAGTTCTTGTTGACAGTATATTAGGCCTTAAAGTGAGCCATTTCATTTAGTTTTCAAATTAAAAAAACCTTAAAAGGATACAGCCAACCAATATTATCAGTCTGCAGGAGGAAAAAAGGAAGGGGGGGGGGGGTAGGTCGATGACTTTCCATGTGAAACTGAACTCGGAACACCAAGTCGTCTCTAATGTACAATGCAAAGCGTTTAAAACAAATGCATCAATCACTGAAGGAGCAAACCAGCCAATAAGAAAACGAATTTTCAGCAAAAGGAGAATGTAAATGCATGCAAGTTTGAAACAATGTTAACCAAAGTGAATCAATATGGTACCTGCACACGTATACACAATGGTTTATGTGTTAATCCGACACATGCATAAAAATGTTTCCAGTTCTCATATGCATATTGTCCCTATTAAGTTCCTCAACATAAATCATGTAACCAGCAATAAATTAAGACATACATAAAAAAGAAATTGTTTGTGTACATTAGAGAGCCACACTCTCATTTTAGCAAAACTTAAAACTATGGGCAGGCATAGACAAAATCCGGATGAATCAACAAAATACGGCTGATATTTATGTATAATATACATTTACATTTGTGAACTAGATGCAGGATAAACACATTTCTAGTTTCTTACAAATAATTAATATTCCTATTTCAGCTATTAAATTACACAAAAAAAAAAAAATCAGCACCAGAAGGTAGTCTGACATTCCTATTTCCCTGTACTTATAGCAAGCACAACTATTTAGGGGAGGACAAATATAACAGGTGATAAATGATGAACTGAAAATACAAACCAAGTCACTCAATAGTCAATTCAACCTTGGCCCTTGAAAAGCTCGTTCAACTTCGATCAATAAAATAAAGGTAGAACAAGTTTCAGTTGTTCAAAAACTTGTCATGCTAGGCTTGATATCCTAAACTTTTATAAGTACATGATCTGTTCTGACTTCTTGATTACTTTGACATGTATTTTTAGCTTATTCTACAATGAAGGTAGGTAATTCCAGAAAACATCTATAGAGGTGTTTTGTGTATTATGTTTTGGTTTCAGAATTTAAAAGAAAAAAAAAAGGCCCAGAATATATTCCGAAGCCGCTGTTTCTTTTTTCTTCCTTAACAACTTGCTTCATAAACATATACTAAATAAGAAAAGGAAGAAACATGCCTAAAGGTAAATAAGCTCCAAGCCACATCGAGATTTTAAGTATCAAGATAAGATCACGAATAAATTAAAATTACCACCATGCCCAAGGAGTTCTATCCAGAACTTACTCTTGCAAATTTCATGTAATTCAATCTTGCTGAGGTACACTTACTAAGTTATCATGATTGTTGACGAAAAAAAGAAGGCTGATCTGATCAGGTTTTAGGAGTCAGAAGCACACTAGCAAAAGGAACTCATTTTCAAACATTTCATTGATGATTTAAAGCACCCACAAGTGGCAGAATGGCTTTTTAAAGTTGTGTGTCAGCAAATTGAGTACTCTTTCTGCAATCTACACTATCCTCCATTAACCCTAATGCTTTTCTTAATTATGTGATGCCGTACTATTGTCAGTCTTTCTCTACCTCGAACTTACAGTTAATAAATTAGTGTTACACTGCCTTATGGATGTTTTCAGAAATCTTTCTTGGAACTCTGAAACCAAGTTAAAAAGATCTCCATTCAATTTTGTCTTCAACATGCTCCATCAGGTAATTCATTATTCTAGCTTATCTAATTTGAGCACACACCCTTTGCGCTTTCTCATCAGCCAGTCTTATTGTTGGTTCAGAATAGTCTGCCTTCACCTAAGTGCCTATCATGAAGCAGGTTCTTTTATAATTATCAACCTTAAGTGAACCTGCAATTTTAAGTTAACCTGAATATTAAGGTGCACTTGTATTGTGCTCGCAGCTTTGGTATTTCAAGTATGTCAAGTTATTACAAAATTTAAAATGATGAGCAACATGATTGAGTTTATGGTGGTTTACAAATCATGTACACCCACTTCCTAGATACAGATGCAAACAGGCATATGCACATGCATGTTTGCGTAAAACGTGCATATAAAGAGAAAAGAAATTAATTGTGAATAAGAAGCACGTCAACAAAATAAATAATAAAAGGACAAATCAACAAAGGCCTAAATCATTGTTTTCAAGTCCATCCCTCACCTGAGTTAATGATCATGAGGTTATGCATGCTTGAACAATTTCATACACAGCCAGTGGAAGTAGACTGCAATAAGAAGGATTGGAGGCGTTAAGGGCACCAAGAGGCAATAGTACCTGTTCAAGAGTGAACCCCAAGTTAAAAAATCATGGCTAATGCTACTACTAGCCTAAGTTTCTAACAGTCAAAAACCAACAGACTGAAGCTCACAAATCCAAACCATTGAAATGCTGAATAATTACAAGAAAAGAGCAGCAGATGATGACATTACTAATCGGTATCATACAAAAGCTGTATAGTGAAGCTTTTACCATCCTTAAGTGTATAAGGTTATAGACAAAAGGAAAAAGTTAGGAAAAAAATTCTGTATAAACTGATATAAGTCAATACCAGAAAGAGAGAGAGAGAGAGAGAGAGAGAGAGAGAGATAAAAGACAATAATAAGAATAAGCACTTGACCTAGGAAGAAGTCTTGCTAAATTCCATGATTTATCTAGCTAAATACGCCAAAATAACAACCTTAGATTTGCCGTTCAACTTTTCCTTACAACAGACATTTAGTTCCATAAGCACGCAATGGAAGCAATAGAGAAGCTTTCTATATCATATGCTAAGAATAGTCCCCAATTTTCACCTTTTACATAGAAGGTGCATATGCTGACGAAATCTATGATAGAAGATAAAAGTCAAGTGGAATATCAACCTATCATTCAGTATGGCAGAAATGAGAGAATTCCCTGATGGTGGAAGAAGCTTTGAGCCAACAGCGGCGAAAAGGAACCCACAAAAGGAAACTGCGCCGGATATAAGAAGGAACCAACCCCAAAATACTCTTTCATAGGAGGCTATCAACTGTGAAAAAGCTGACATCTTGTTTCATAGCAACCTCTACCATTTCTCATCTAGATAAAAGGGATTTAACTGAAGCTCCATGTTGCTTTAACTTCAACAAGTGCCTAGCTCCCAAACACCATATTTAAGTATCAGAAGACAGATCATTATTTGCATTTGATACTAGCAAGGGAGCTAAGATCACAAAGATCAATCAACATTGAATCAAACGGCAAATAAAAAGGGAATAGGAGATGCATGCAGCAAACTGTATGGTACAAAGAATATACATATCCATCTACCATTTATACTGAAGTGATAGAGCTACAACTGTCAACAACATAAAGAGCAGCAGCTTTATGTAAGTTAATTCAAGCTAATTCAAGCTGTCAAATCCACCATGGGTATCACGGGAAATTTCTGAAATAGGTCGCATTTGGCAAGAAAGAGCACAAGATTTTGGGCTATCAATTATACAGGATATTTCGTACTGACTTTGTATAACATATACCGTTACTCTGCAAAAATCGGTACAAATACTGTGTGTACAAATTCCGTTTACTAATTAAGCATCAACCGAGCCCCCATTTCATAAATTTCCCCATCGAAATATGCAGCACAAAAGCAGTATGTTAAATCCAATGATTCAAAACAAAGACAAAATTCTTGAATGTGAGTCCTCACATGTCTTTAAAACTAGAGGAATCTTGGCATGGCAGTCTCCTAATTGCATGAGAGCAAACAGCAAATTCTTTAGAAATCTCTACTTCTCTCTGATATAAAAATCATGTTTAAAGAAAGGGTAAAATACCCAAAAACTCTTGTGGTTTGCTAAATGTTCAATTTAACTCCCTTTAGTTTGAAAACCTACACTATAACTCCCTGTGGATTCAACTAGATTGAAATTGGACGGAAAGCATCTAATCTAACGATTATACATGAAATGTCAATATTGCCCTTATATAAATGAACTCCCTATGGTTTGTTGAATGTTCAATTTAACTCCCTTTGATTTGAAAAATTACACTATGACTCCCTACGATTTCGACTAAATTGAAAATTGAATGGAAAGCATCTCACGTATAGTAGGGGCAACATTGACATTTCACACACAACCGTTAGATCTGATGCTTTCTATCCAATTTTCAATTTAGTCAAAACCACAGGGAGTTATAGTGTAATTTTTCAAATCAAAGGAAGTTAAATTGAATATTTGTCAAACCACAGGGAGTTTTTTGGTATTTTACCCTTAAAGAACAGATCCTAAGAAGAAAAATTCAAAAGGACTACTTGCTGGCAATTATACAGGATGCAGAAAGTAGGAAAGGAAAAATAGACAGTCTTGAATTATTAAAAGGGCTAACACACCAAAACCACATTATTCCATCATTAAAAGGAAAATCTATCTTGAAAAGCAGAACATGATAAATAGGGAAAAGAATCAAGTCTATACTGTAAAAATGGTGTTCTCAGCGACCAGATGACAAAGTCCACGAAACTCAAATTCAAATAGCATGGCTATGTATGAGGTAACTCTTCCCATGCCTATTTGACAGCAATAAAGTTCGATCTAATAGAAATTTTTGCTTCAAACAACTGTCGACCCAAAACAGTAGAAATTATCAAAGATACCTGAACTAGTGGAGTACCAAACTGTTAAAGAAAGCAAGAGCAAATAAATGAAGAACTTTGAAAACTTGAATTACAAAAGCTCAAAATATTGCAACATCAACTAAACAGTCTCATAAATAAGGTTGAAAAATGAACCAAACTACTTGATATTCAAATTGAGTTTGACTTGGTAAGAGCTTGTTCGAGCTCACCAACTAGTCAAACCAAAAGCATTTTATGTTCGATAATATTCAAATCCCATCAAAACCTCATTCACACTCGGTTCAGCAAATAAACAAGCCACACTTGAACAAAATTTTAAGCTTCTTTAAATAATCAAACAAGCTTGAACACTTGGTTGTTCGGTTTGATTATGTTTGTTTACACCCCTACTCATAAAAAAAAGTCAAGACCAAAGAAAAGAAGTTAACCAAGAAATAATTCAACCCCAGATTCAAAATGGTGGTCTAGTAAAAATCTAGCCATCCACAATAAAGAAAAACTCTGCCACAACTAGCAGTGAGCTAATTTAGACCCTCTTCCCATAATTATCATTAGGGGTGGCAATTTTCAATATGACCTGAAAACACGACATGAACCTAACACGAAATTAATGGATTTGGGTTGAGACTTCGCAGGTTTGGGTCGGAATCGGGTCAAATCCGATGAACCAGAAAAAAAAAAGTCGAATTCAGATTACCCACGGGTTGACCCGATAACCCATTTATGAATTAAAAATAATTTAGTAAATATAAAAATATTTTATCTAACTAAACCAACTTATTCTTTTTTCCCCAAAGGCATTAAGCACTTAATTCTAAATGAATTTGTTTAACTTGTGTGACGTTGGAATTATTATGTTTAGACAAATAATTTATTACATTATTTTCTATTTTTATAGTATCTTAATTTATTTTAGATCTGGTTTGGGATTGTTTTATCGAGATTTTTATTACTAGATTACGTAGTCTTGTACGAAATTGTTTTTGTTAGAAACTACAGTGGTAAATTAGTAAATTGAAATTATGTTTTAGGTCATTCCGGTTGACCTGCCAACCCGAAATTTTCAGGTTCAGGTTCAGGTATCCTGATCCGTTTTGGGTTGGTTGGTCGTGTTCGGGTCAGCAGGTTATCTATTATACACAGGTCTCAACCCGACCCGCCAACCCATTTCTGACTTGATTGCCACCCATTTATCATACATACTCCTCATTTTGCTATCAGACAGCACTTAATAAGCTGAAGATCAGATCATGGATCACTAAAAAAGCCAAAACAAAATTTTCTTTCTCAAACAAAAGTACTTGCATTATAAATGTCACACTTGCACCTATCATTATTGCTTTCAGCAAATTTCTTTTTAGCCTCCGCATTGCTTTGGTTTTTAGTCCCCATAGGCCATTTTATCTGCTCGTCTGAAGCACCATGAAAAATACATAATGACTATTCTTGATATCATCCAAGCCGCTTAATCAGGGAAAAGGCAGAAAACAAAATATATAAATAAATAAATAAATAAGAGCTTTCCTGCTTATTCTGTAAAATAAGATGCGGCCACTTGTGGCAAAAAAAAGTTCATTTTATCTTATCATCTAGAGTATGTTAGACCCACCCAAGCTGTATCAGAGTAAACACCAGATATTCATGAAATTTTACAGCGAAGAAAGATTTGTTTTACCCCACCATCATATCTGGAAATACAGAAAAGGAAGTACCACAGGAGAAGATAATTCTTGGCATCAAAATTTTAAGCATCCCTGGTTATGCACCAAACCAATGAAAGACTCTGAAATCCAAACAGCAGTTTCAAAACTCCAAGAAATCATACTGTTACTTATGCCAGAGATAATGGCTCACTATTTTTTGTTTTACTTGAGACATGTTGAAACTGCTTGAATGTTCATTTCTAACACGTCACAAAAATTGACGCTAAGAGAGCATACATAAGCACAAAAAGACAAATAGAGAATACATATATTACAAGGTACAGAAAAATTGTAAGAATAAGAAATAGATGAAGATGTTTATGGGATAAATTACCTTCACTTGGGAAATATCTAAGTCTCCAAAATTTCCTTGCATAACCTTCTAAGCTCCATAGTGGTATCTCCACAATTACTCAAATACTCAATCAAAACCTATCTTGGTTTTGGAACTGACTTCTAGCAACTACTCGCCTTTAGTCATACTTTAGTTTGAAACTGAAGCTCTGTTTCTTCCAGTCTACCATCCATAACATTATTAAAATGTGTCAGTGATGCATCATAGCCTAGCTTCCTAAATAACCATCGCACCAAGAAGTTCCATATAGAAATATTAGGACAGATTCCTTTTTCTATCATCCTCTGAAGATAAACACTGGCTAAATCTAAACCAATTGTCTCACAGATTCCACAGATGAGACTGGTAAATGTAACTAAATCTGGATTGCAACCTACAGAACTCATGGTGTCTAGAAGCTTAATAGCTGACTCAACCTTACCACACTTACAGTAGCCATTGATTACAATATTCAACGTGAAAGTATCAGGTTTTATTCCCTTCACCAACAATTTTCCAACAAACATCAGGGCCACCTCAAACATGCCTGCACGAGAAAGGCCGTTTACAATATTGTTGTATGTCACTATATTAAACTCAATTCCGTTTCTCTCCATATCCACAAGAAGCTCAAATGCAAGTCTGAAGTTGTTAATTTTGAACAGACCACCCAAAAGTTCATTGTATGTCGTGATATTACATGCACATCCATAGTGTTCCATTTTATCAAACAATTCCATAGCCTGATCTACTCTACCACTGGTGCACAGATGTTTGATAAAGACATTGAATGTAATAGTGTTTGGCGGACAATTTTCCATTGCCATTTTCTCTATCAGATTATAAGCTCTGTCAAACATGAAGTTTCTACAAAGCACATCCACCATGGAGGTATATACCACAACATTTGGGGGACAACCAGACGTTATCATCTTGTTCCATATCTCAGATGCACCCCATAGATCTCCAAATTTTGCATATCCATCAATGAGTGTACTAAAGGTTGTCACATTGGGAAGGTAGCCATATCTCTCCATCTGGTTAAGAAGACACAAAGCTTCGGACAAATTCCCAACAAAGCAAAGACCATGTATTAATGTGTTATATGTGACAACATTGGGTAATAACCCCTCCCTGGTAATTTGGTTCCATACAGCAAGAGCTTCATGTACCCTTCCTTTTAAAGAAAGTCCTTTTATCAAACAAGTTAAAGTCTGAATATTCGGACTACATCCACTCACAAACATTTTCCCCAACATAGCAAAAGAAAGCTCAAAATTACCAACATCACACATGGCATTGAGTAATGTTGTATACGTGACAACATTAGGTCTAAGTCCCTTATCCAACATGTCGTTCATCAACTCAAACGCCTCTCTAAAATTGCATTCCCGGCAGAACCCATTTATAAGAGCATTATAAGCTGGAACACTAGGTGTATAATTCAAGGCCAGTTTTCTTGCATCTTTAGTACTACCAATCTTACACAAAGATGACACTATTGTTGTATAGCTCACCACATCCGGAGAACATCCCTTATTTGACATTTCCACAAGCAACTTACAAGCCCCATCCACCCTATTATTCTTACACAATGCCTTCAAAAGAATATTGTACGTGTAAACATTCGGCTCCAAGCCATCTTTCTTCATATTGTTATAGACAGGATTAATCATATGAAATTGGTTCTCACAAAGCAACGCATCCAACAAATGATTATAAATCCTCACAGTCACTTTAAAGCCAAAATCCTGTATCCTATAAAATGTTTTCAGTGCTTGCTCAGCTGCCCCAGCCCGCCTATAAGAATCCATCACACTAATGAATATACCCTCAGAACAATTAACTCCTTCCAACTTCATTTGCTGCAAAAGGTACTGAACACCATCCATCTCGTGCTTTTGCCCCAGTTTCTCAATCATCATTTGGTAAGTTAAAGTTGTGTGCTTGAAGGATTCTACATTGGCTACATACTTAAAGTACTCTAAAGCTAAATAAGTATCACGTTCACCTCTTAATCTCTTCAAAACATCAGATTCTTTAAGGGTTCTTGGGTTTTTCCTAATTTCATCATTTTCTTGATTCACACCAAGTATTGGACTAGCATTCAGGACAAAAGGGATCGAGGGCTTATGAACTTTCAGCAGCAATGAACATCCCTCTTTCAGATACATCATATCAGCAAACCCTAAACTATACTTTTCCACCAATCTGCGACAAGTAAACTGAGAAATGATATGCGAAAAAATACCATCAAGAAATGCAACTAATTAAGGAAATAAATCTGAAATATGCAACAGAATATCAGCTCAATTTCGAAATCACAAATTGGACAACCTTTATAGATGTTAGCTAGAAAAGGTACCTCAAATATGAAATATTACACCGAAGGAGCAACAGAATTGAGCTCAACTGTTCCTGTTCTTTGATGTTTTGAGGAGTTTGAAATATTTGTTTCTTGGTCCAGCCGTACATAGGATGTTTCATACGGGTAGGCCTGTCAATGTTTCTTCTCTAATGGTGTTCTATAAAGGTCTGATTTGTTCTTAACGTTAATATAAAACGAAGAAAAATTATTGTATTGACAGACAATGCATCAATGCCACTGCCGGCTTTCAGGTTTCTTGCCTGCCAACTGTTCGACGAAATGTTTCTGTGGTTACGCATTAAGTTCTGTGAGTATTTGTTTACATACAAGAAATGTTTCTGTGGTTACGCATTAAGCCTACATTTTTTTCTTTTGTATCATTCATTTTCTTTGGTGTTCAAATCGTAATCCTATTCCTATTCCAACAGACTCGACTTAAGGCTTTCACCATGTTTTTCATGGACTTTTAGGGTACAAACAAATTTAAAAAAATTACCCGTATCCAATTTATGCGAAATTGCTGAGAGAGAGAGTTGTTGGAGCCTGGAACTGGAAGCTTCGACAATCTGGATTGGAAGCGGAACTCGAACCTTCGAAATGGAAACAGCGGAGCGGGCTCGACGGAGCAACTTACAACTAGCTAGCAATTTAGAGGTGAATTGATTAAAGGAGATGGCGAACTCTGCAAGCTTGGAAATGGCGGACGGGACCAAGAGTGATTTTGTTGGACGTTTGGAATCGACGAGTGGAGCAAGAGAGAAGAGAGACATGTGCAGCGGGTAGGTGAATTGCAAGATTAGGGTTTTTGTTAATTTGGTAAAAGAAATGTATTTAAAAATATTTAAATACATGTCCGTTGACAACTCTACGTATGGATCAAATCCACGCCTTGTTATAGTTGGATCAAAATGAAAAATATCGAATATTTACGGCTCTAAATGAATTTTTCCTTTTTTATAAAAAATATAAATCAAAATTCTGAATGGATTAGTGATGGCACGTTTAGCTCGATCAAGTAAGTTCAGCTTAAATGTATCATGTAAGACCCAAAGACAACCAATGAGACAGTTGATAAGAAAGCACAAGTGCTTGTGAGTAGAAAAGATAAACAAATTAAAGATCATAAACGTAACAATAAGTAAATAAAAAGGAAAGAGTTGCAAACCAATTAACTACCCAACTCCTCTTGAGCTTGTAGATTAATTGAGACAATCTACTTCAAGTTGATGAATTATAATCACTCTTGTGTACAAAGGAAGGTTCACCTCCTCCTTGCCCCGAACTCCACTCGGTCAAGCCAGGACGTTTTACTATCACTCAGGACAACCCTCACAGAGCTACACTCATGAAAGATTCACTCACAAATGAAAAGCTTACAATGAACCTCACACCACTAAGACTACAAATCTAGCTTTGGAAACTATTTTCTAGCTAAAATATCTCTTGAGATCTTGTAAACAAAGTGTGCAAAAGTTACTTTCTCGTTCAGAAACGTTTGTATTTGAAGGGGACCAAAAATGGGCTTCATTAATGCTTCCAACGGATAGAAGGCAGATGAAAAGTCAGCTAGCCGTTGGGGACGTCGGACGTCCGACAGATTAATCACCGTCCGAAAATCAGCCAAGTTGTCGTTCGGACGTCCGATGGTATTTTATCGTCCGAGCTTCTGTGTCCGAACGTCGTCCAAAGAGTTATCAAATCTTCGTGGAATTTTTAGGACGTCCGATGAGATTGATGTGCGTCCGAAGCATGCGTCCGATCCTTCAGGACGTCCGATGCTTCCTTACGAGCGTCCGACAGAGTTTCCTTCTTGATGTTCTTCATCCTTTCGGACGTCCGATCCTGACTATTTGAGCGTCCGACAGCTTCAGCATACTTAGGCCCCTTTCAATTGCACTTGTTCATGGAATCAAACAACTTCAAAACTGAAAGTATATCTTGAAGAAATATTAGTATCATCCATTTATTTTGTAAACATCAAAAGATAGGGATCAAGATCAACATTCTCCCCCTTTTTGATGATGACAAAACAATGGATGGAATGAAGGAAAAAGATTGAGCATATGAGCATAGACTCCCCCTCACTCATTGCAACCAAACTTATAATTTCAGAATAACTCCCCCTAACACCTAGCATCCATTTCTCCCCCTTTTTGTCATCATAAGATGAGAGTAATACCCAACAACCATAATCCAACAATAATAACAGAGAATCCAATATTCAAAACAAAACAGAAAAATGATACCAGAATTCAGCAATACCAACATACCAACATATCACAGAGAGATTAGCAAATCATCGTTAGATCAGAATAGTTCTTTTCTCTCCCTTTTTGACACCATACAAATTCAGTAGTGTTCAAAAATATCAGCGAAAACACAGATCAAAGTATCGGAAATATCAAAAAAAATATTGTGAACAAGAATCACTGCAATGATTAACAAAATCTCCTATTTGTTAAAGTTAGCATCATGTCTAACTATCCACATGCATTTCATGCCTCTTCTCATATTCTTTCTCACATAACAATCACTTTTCATGTGACCTTTTTGACAACAAAAATTACACATAACCAAAGAGTTATTTACATGAACAGGTTTAATAAATCTTACTTGTCTTCTCCTATGGATAGCAAATTCGTTGGAATTAGAATTCAACATTTTCTTTTGAAAACAGACTTGTTTCTTGTGTTTAAGCAACTCATTTAGACCATCCATTCTTCTTTTCAAATCACCTTGTTCCTTTTTGAACAAATCACAAAGTTTTGTTTTTCTATCAAGTTCAAAATGTAAAGCAGTCTCACTCTTTTTGAAGTAATCATTTTCAGCTTTCAACTTTTTATTTTGTTGAAAAAGATTTGCATTATCTTGAAGCAAAAAACCAATTTTTTGTTTTAACCCCTTGTTTCTAGCATAGGACTGTTTCAAACTATCATGCAATTTTATAATGAAAGATTCAATATCATCATCAGTTTCTTCATCACTTTCAACTTGAGAGTGATAAGATGTTATCTCATCATCTCCAATGGCCATTAGTGCCATTTGGGCCAACTCTTCTTTTTCTCTTTTTGAATTGCATTCATCCCATGTAATTTTGCAATCTTCTCTTGAACTTCTCTTGTTGAAGATCTTCTTGAAACTTTTGATGTGAGGAGTTATATCATTGTCCACTTCCATGTTTTCATTACCCATGAAGGATGGGTTATCCCCCACTTGAGATGCTTTAAAAGCTATGCCTCTCTTATACATTCTTGCATTTTCTTCCTCTTGCACTTTGAATTTCAGCTTTAATTCATAAGAGATTAGGGAATTCACAAGAGATTCAATGGACATAGAATTTAAATCCTTTGTCTCTTCTATAGCATTTATTTTGTTTTCCCATTCTTTTGGCAAGGCATTCAAAATCTTTCTATTTTTCTCACCCAAAGAATATTCTTTTCCAAGCAATTTAAGATCTTGAATAATGTCACAAAATCTAGTACACATCTTATCAACATTTTCAAGAGGATGCATTTTGAAAAATTCATATTGAGAAACAAGCAAAGATTTCTTTTGTTCTTTAATATCTTGGTTATCTTCATGAAATTCACACAATTTATCCCAAATATCTTTAGCTGATTTACAACCTTTAATCCTACTAGATTCATTTACATCTAATGCATTGTACAATATATACATGGCCTTGGCATTCAAAGAAAGGTATCTCTTGTCTTTTTCATTCAATTCTTGTCTAGTCTTTAATTTACTCAAATTAGTGGTAGAGTCAACTATTCTAGTTTCATAAGGACCATCTTCTACCACATACTATAATTCAATATAAACGGATTGTAAGAAAATCATCATTCTTTGTTTCCACATGCTAAAATGAGAACCATTAAACATAGGTGGTCTATCAATAGATTGCCCTTCTAAAAAGGAAACTTTTATGGTTGCCATGATCTTTACTCTAAGCGGTTAAGTTTAATCTCTAGGAGACCAAGCTCTGATACCAATTGTAAGACCCAAAGACAACCAATGAGACAGTTGATAAGAAAGCACAAGTGCTTGTGAGTAGAAGAGATAAACAAATTAAAAATCATAAACGTAACAATAAGTAAATAAAAAGGAAAGAGTTGCAAACCAATTAACTACCCAACTCCTCTTGAGCTTGTAGATTAATTGAGACAAACTACTTCAAGTTGATGAATTATAATCACTTTTGTGTACAAAGGAAGGTTCACCTCCTCCTTGCCCCGAACTCCACTCGGTCAAGCCAGGACGTTTTACTATCCCTCAGGACAACCCTCACAGAGCTACACTCATGAAAGATTCACTCACAAATGAAAAACTTACAATGAACCTCACACTACTAAGACTACAAATCTAGCTTTGGAGACTATTTTCTAGCTAAAATATCTCTTGAGATCTTGTAAACAAAGTGTGCAAAAGTTGCTTTCTCGTTCAGAAACGTTTGTATTTGAAGGGGACCAAAAATGGGCTTCATTAATGCTTCCAACGGATAGAAGGCAGATGAAGAGTCAGCTAGCCGTTGGGGACGTCGGACGTCCGACAGATTAATCACCGTCCGATCCCATCGTCCGAAAATCAGCCAAGTTGTCATTCGGACGTCCGATGGTATTTTATCGTCCGAGCTTCTGTGTCCGAACGTCGTCCAGAGAGTTATCAAATCTTCGTGGAATTTTTTAGGACGCCCGATGAGATTGATGTGCGTCCGAAGCATGCGTCCGATCCTTCAGGACGTCCGATGCTTCCTTACGAGCGTCCGACAGAGTTTCCTTCTTGATGTTCTTCATCCTTTCGGACGTCCGATCCTGACTATTTGAGCGTCCGACAGCTTCAGCATACTTAGGCCCCTTTCAATTGCACTTGTTCATGGAATCAAACAACTTCAAAACTGAAAGTATATCTTGAAGAAATATTAATATCATCCATTTATTTTGTAAACATCAAAAGATAGGGATCAAGATCAACATATCATGCTCGAAGTCTAGATCTATATTTTTAATAAAATATCAAAATTTCATTACAATTTCTAAGAGAAATAAATCATCAAATATATATAAATATGAAAGAATAGATATCAAGAATAGATACCATAAAATCCAAAAAACAAATGAAATTTACATTGAAAGACTTAAAAAAAAAAATTAAAAATAAGATATAATAATTATAGCCCCACAAATTTGAACTATTTATTTTGACTTGAGTTTGGTTAACATCGAGAATTGAACTATTTATTTTGACTTAAGCTTGGTTAACATCAAGAATTGAGTTCAATTTTGTAGGGCTATAATTGATTTAATTCTCAAACCCTTGGAGTCGCCTTTAAACACCAAAAGAATTTACCAAAAAAAAAAAACGACTTTCTTATTGAGTTGCTAGAAATATAATGTTTTCTCCTCCATTGGACCTGTCCATCACATAAATAATTTTATCTTAATTGTCTTTAGATCATTCAAGATTTCCGAAAATTAATGATTAAAAGGGATTTTAACACGAGGAAAAATTTTTACTTGATAAATTAGATCAAGAAAAGGGATAGGTCCAATGGATGAGAAAAGGGCAATAGAAATAATGGAAGAAAAGGGCAGATTGGTGTTCTAGGCGCAATCCGGCCCAAGAATTCGTCCACAGATTGTCGAGTCGGATTCGAGACACGGATCTGCTTTGGCTAACTTGGATCCATTCGCAGATCCTCAATGATGGCCAATATGCAACTTTTATTTGTTTAGGGCTTTTTAGTGTTGTTTTTTACTTTTTAGATCAAACTTTTTTAACATATAAATAGGCATATCTAGAGCTTTTGT